AGAAGTCAGAGCATGAGGACAGCCTTGAGGTCTCTCCAGGAGAGTCACGGACCATAGGATTTATTAGGGATTCAGGTATGAGATGATCATGGCTCTCATCATTGTAGTGACCATGGTATTTTGAAGGAATCCAAGACATAGATGATGGGCCTGTCCCTAACCATGGTAGGGCCCTCAGGATTTTGTAGCTATAGAGTGAAAAGATGACAGTGGTCACATCCCTGGTAATTTCAGTGGGATTTCGTAAATATCCAGGTAAGAAATGAGTGTTTTTGCTTAGGAAGGGAACATGGGATGCTGAAATTATAAAGGTAGGAAATGATGATAAACTTAATTTTGTGGGTGACCATGCTATTTTCTAGATAACCAGATAAGAGAGGATGGTTGCCGTAACTCGAGTATCAAAATTGAATTTCCTCAGGGCAGGCACATAGGAGCTGATGATGTTTCTTCCCATGTTAGTGAACATGACATTTTGTGGTATTCCAAATGTGATGGCAAAACCAAACCACAAAATGACCGTGAGATTTGTCAGGAGTCTTGTAAACAGATGGTGGTACCCTTAACCGTGAAGGTTATGATGAAATTTTATAGGTCAGTAATTAAGAGATAATGGTGATTCTAACCATGGTAGTGAATGAGGGATTTTGCAAGTCCCCAGGTAAGAGATGATGGTATCTGTAAAATTGTGGTGACGATGTGATTCTGCAGATATCTAATTAAGGAATAATGTGTTACTAGAAATGGTAGTACCTACGTGTTTTAAAGTTACCCAGGAAAGAAATAATTTGTCCCTAGCAATGCCATTTATTCTGCATAATTTTAGGTCACCATGTATGGTAGGTTTATCTAAATCTGGTAGATCTCATGGGTTTCTGTAGGTATCCACATGAGAGATGATGAGTCACGAATGGTAAACAATTGCCACTATTGTTACCAAGGTATTTTGTAAGTATCCAGCTAAGAGCTCCGGCTTTATATATTTGTTGGATGTAAGACTATTTTGTTTTGTATTTTTATAATATATGATTTTTCTTTTTTTTTTTTGACAGAGTCTGGCTGAGGTAAATGCTGATGTGGACATAAACCACAGCCCATACTGTGGGACTGTCAGAGAGACCCATTTCAGTGATGACGTATCCCTACACACCTTCCCACTGTGACTTCTTTCACAGGTACTCGAGTGAGAAATGATTGAGTCCTCACCATTCCTAGATTGGCCTGGATATTCCATTTTCTCTTTCAGCAAAAGTGTATGCTGAACCCTGTGAGTGTTGAGGGACTGCAGGGAGCCAGGTATTTATCACTGTATTCCCTACCCCCATGCTATCCCTAGGATGTCTATAGGTGTTGAGAAACAGTGTTTCTGTGCTATCAGGGTCAACCTGGGATGACGGCAAGTATCCAGGTCAAGTGAGTGTTTACCGTTAAGGTGGAAATAAGATTATTTGCAGGAGTGCTGGCAGCAAACCCTACGTCCCTCTACACATATGTCTTCATGCATCTTTCAGATTCCTACCGTGACATTACAATCAATTTGACATGGAACCTTAATGGAAAGCTTGGCTGCTCTGCAGGTCAACACTGCTGAGGACCGAAAGCATCACATGGGCCACGTGAGGTTCAGCTGACTAGGTAAGTGATGCTGGTGTCAGACCCCCTGTTGTTCCTGTGATTTCACCTCAGGTGTCCTGGTGGGGATTGATAAGGGTCCCTGGCATACTAAAAACCATGAATTTTTCCTCTGCATATTTCAGAAGCAATGCCTAACCCTGTAAGCGGGATGGGACTGCAAATAGCAGGTAATGATCCAGGGTTCCCAGCCACAGCAGTGACTGTGGGCATTATGCAGGTGTCCTGTAGAAAGAAATGCTGTCTTCTGGAACCACAGCCTTCAGCTGAATGGGCCCCTCCAGATCCTGGTAAGTGTCGTTGAATGATGGATGTGAGCATCGTGATTGATTTGCAGGTGTCCTGGTAGAATGCTCTGTGTTTCTGAGGTATGTCATAATTTCTGTTTTTCAGATTCCCGGGAGACAATCTTGACAGAAAAGGATCACCAGGGGACATGTCTGCTATCTGCTTAAGTGATGGTGTACGCGGCAAACTCACCACAGACCCCATGATCTCCACGTATCTAGGTAAGTGAGGTTCCTTTGCCTGAATGGTTTACCATGTGCTGGGTTAACAGCTGTTTTGGAAATAAGGGAAGTGGCTCTCTGTTCTCCCTGCTATGCAATCCTATTGATTTCTGTCCTAAAGAGAATGTATGATGTGTGCGCTTTGAGTGTGGATTCATTTGAATGTACCCAGGGAACTCAGGTGGCACTGTGCATCACTGGAGTAACTGCAGCGGATTTACAGGGAAGCCAGCCAGGGAAAATGGCGTGTCCTACGATGGCCTAGACCGTGGAGGGCTCGTGAGGATCCAGGTACATATTCGTCTCCCACCATGATGATAGCGTTCAGGCAGTTAACACTGGTATCAAAGCATTGTCTGTAGACACGTTGGTCGCATATTTGGTTTCAGGTTCAGGCATGCAGAAGTCAGAACAGAAGGCGCCTTGAGGTCTCTGCAGGAGATTCACAGACCATAGGATTTGGTAGGGATTCAGATATTAGATGATCATGGCCCTCATCATGTTAGTGATCATGGTATTTTGAAACAACCCAAGAAACATGATGGCCATGCCCCTAACTATGGTAGTGCCCATGGGATTTTGTAGCTATAGGGTGAAAAGGTGACAATTGTCATATCCATGGTAATGTCTGTGGGATGTTGTAAATATCCAGGTAAGAAATGGGTGTTTCTACTTAGGTAGTAAACATGGGATACTGAAGTCATAAAGGTAAGAAGTGATGACAAACCTAATCATGCAGGTGACCATGGCATTTTCTAGCTATCCAGATAAGAGTGGATGGTGGCCCTAACTCAAGTATTAACATTGGGTTTCCTCAGGTACGCATGTAGGAGCTGATGATGTCCCTTCCCATGTTAGTGAACATGGCTTTTTATGGTATTCCAGATAAGATGGTAAACCTAACCCCAAGGTGACCATGAGGTGTGTCAGGTGCCTAGTAAAGAGAAGCTGGTCCCCTTAACCGTGAAGGTTATGATGAAATTTTGTCGGTCAGGAATTAAGAGATGACGGTGAATCTACAATGGTAGTGAACAAGGGATTTTGCAAGTCACCAGGTAAGAGACGATGGTGTCTCTAAAAATGTGACCATGTGATTTCGCAGGTATGCAGTGAAGGAATAATGTGTTACTGGAAATGGTAGTACCAAGGTATTTATCAGTTACCCAGGAAAGAAATGTGTTCTTATGGCATTTTATTTGGGCAATTTGTGGGTCTCCAGGTCTGGTAGGTATTTCTTTATCTGATTGATCTCATGGGCTTCTGTAGGTATCCACATGAGAGATGATATATCACAACTTGTAACCAAGTGCCAAGGTATTTCACAGGTATCTCACTTAGAGCTCTGGTGAATATGAGTTTTTGAAGATATCCAGCAGGGAATGATGTTGGCCTAAACCATGATAATGCCCACAAGTTGTGCCCATGTCTTGGTAAGAGGTGGTGTGTGTATAGTTGTGTGTATAGTTGTCACCATGGCTTTTTTGCAGATTCCAACAAATAATGAAGATAAGCTTAACCACTATTATGAATATAAGATTTGGAAGGAATTAAGGAAAGAAATAATGTGGGCTTTAACCAAGTGGATATGATTAGATTTTGGGGATTTCTAAATAAGTGATTATGGTGTCCCTAACTATGGAATTTTGCAGGTTGTAGTCAATAGGTGATGAGGAATTTAATAGTAGGCGCAAACATGGGATTTACTGATGCCCAGGTAAGGCATGATGTGGTCCTTAAACATATTACAGACCATATGATTTTATGGATATCTACATAAGCAATAATATGTCCTGAAATCTTGATATAACCACTTTGTTTTCACATTTATAAAGTTGCTCATTCTCAAATACTTGGCACAGGGCTGATTTTCAAGTTGAGGAATGCACCAGCGGCCAGGTGCGGTGGCTTATGCCTTAATCCCTAACTTTGGGAGGCCGAGGCAGGCAGATCACTTGAGTTGAGTTCGAGACCAACCTGACCAACACAGCGAAAACCCGTCTCTACTAAAAATACAAAATGAAACCGAGCATCCTGGCACGCGCCTGTAGTACCAAGGTATTTATCAGTTACCCAGATACTTGGGAGGCTGAGAGGTACAAGAATCACTTCAACCCAGAAGGCAGATATTGCAGTGAGCTGAAGTTGGGCCACTGCACTCCAGACTGTGACAGAGCGAGACTTTGCCTCAAAAAAAACAACAACAAAAAAGTAATGCACCAGAGTCATGAAATAATGATCTTATCACAGAGGGCTTAGAAAGCAAAACCTCAGAAAATATTACCATTTCTCAAAATACTTGTGGAAAATAATTAAGAACCAGATAACAGAAATTGTGATCAGAGGAAATACCATCAGAATATACTTAAGTGCACAATAGGTAGTTGGAGGGTGAACTGTTTACCCTTCTAAAACCATCACTATGATCAACAGAGACAACAGATATTTTCCTCAAAGATTAAATTGGTTCATGAGAAATAAAAGCAACCAAAATGAGCCACATTATCTGCAGTAGAAGAGACTATATAGAAAAAGTTCTATGGCAAGAGCTAATTAGTTGATCTACAAACAGATCCACCAAAAATGCCCCAATTTTAGACACGTTAGATATTGCATACTCAAAAAAAAAAAAAAAAGGAACATTTTGAAAGCTGTTGTAAATTTAATTAATTGCTGAGTATCTCTTTGGCTAGTAGTTGAACGATCATTATTTAGTCCTACAGTGCTGTCCTCTTTCTGTTTGCAAACCACCTGAAAGTCTTATTTCCTCATCTCTTTTACAGATTACCAAGATGGATCCTACAATATAATCACACAGGATAATGTTGGAAAGTATGACTATCTAAATCATTTCTAAAGGTCTTACTGTTCTCCATCGATTTTCAAATTATTTCTAACAGCATCTAAAACCATGTCGACAGCAGCCTGGAGCATGTCTTCATTGCTGTCATCACTGAGTTCACTGTCAGTTCCTCTCAGACTTGTTGTTGGCGTTTCACGTAGACATGAACTGTGACCTGGTGAATCTGACTTTTGTTTCCTCTGCTGTTGTTCTTGCTCGTCCTTTTCAAAATAGTCTTTTATTTTCTTTAGCTCTTCCAAAGCAGGAGTTACACACGATGTCTGTGGAAGATCTTGCGATGTGTTTCTGGAAGTACCTTGCATGCTTAACTCAATAGCGCTGTGGAGATCTTGATCTTCTCTCTTGCTTGCTTGATGACTCAGTGCTAGAGCCCTCTGAAAATCCTCATCTTCGTCTGATAGGTCAGATTCATCAGTTTCTTCCGACACTTTTTCAAGGGCTGTTTTATGGTCTCTTTGTTGTCTTTCTAGTGGTAGTTTTCTTTCAGTAAGTTTTGGTAGATCTCTTTGTTTGACCCTGATGGTCTGCAGGAGTTGGTCAGCTTCACAGTCTGGCAGATCACCCTTAACAACAAATACAGAGTAGCCTTCCTTTTGTAGTTTTCTCAGGAATAGTGCCAGGTATGTATCTGATATTAATTCTGGACCCTCCAAGAGAGAATCTAAGTTAAACCAGAGTTTTCCAAATTTTCTAATAGTAAACCAGTGTTGTTCATAATTACATATAAAAGATCTTTCATTTATAGGATTAATCCCAAGCTTTTGATAGGCAGGGCTATTTAAAAGGATCACGTCTAAACCCCAGAACTTCAAGGCATTGGTTATAACCTGAATAGAAAAGAAACCTGTGTCATCCATGTTTCCTGAAGGCTGTTGTAAAAATGCGCGATAGTCTTCACTGGTGACTCCTCCTTCTGCCATTCTCATCCTCTCTTCTTCATCAAGCTGATGTGCAATTGAGGCTAATTCCACAGGGCTAAAATATTCTCCTTGAAATAGATTATTCAAGCAGTGCTGGGCGCAGAGGGATCCTTCTTGTTTCTCGTGGAAGATGAGCTCCATGTTGATTCTAACCAGGAGTTTTTGTAGGTTTGCAGGGAGATGTTGTATGCCCAGCTTTGGTACCTATCTGGACAGTATGAAGATGTCCATGTAATAGGTGTACAGCTTTCAGAGCTTATGAACACCATGGGATTCTGTAGGTATTCAGGTCAGAGATGATGTCACAAAGCACTATGGTGACCAAGGTGGCTTTGCCAGTATCCAATCAAGAGCTGATGGGAAACCTAAAGTGAATATGGGATTTTGGGGTTATCCTGTAGGTGATAATGATGAGTGCCCACGGGATTTTCAGATGTCCTATAAAAGGAAATACCTCTCTAATTGTAGTTGTCAGCATGGTTTTAGTAAGTAAATAAAGATGAAATTTACCACAGCACTAAACATAAGATTTGGTCGGTAACTGGGAAAGAAATAACATGGGCTTTAACTGAATGGACACCATGGGGTTTTGCAGTTGTCTATCTAAGTTATCGTGATGTCACTGACCACAGTAATAGCCATGGAATTTTGCAGGTTCCAGTAAGATGACAATAAAACTCACAGTGGCAAGGAAGATGAGGCTTTGCCAGTATCCTAGTTTGAGGTAATACGGACCTTAAAAACATTAGTGACCAAATGATCTCCAACCATCTAGAAAACCGATGATGATGCCCTGAACTCTTTTCGTAGCCATATGTTTTTACAGGTGTTCAGGTAAGAAATGTGTGTGCCTAACACAAGCAGGAACCATTAGATTTTATTGTTTCCTAGTTCCAAGAAAATTTGTCTCAAAACTTAGTAGGGACAAAGATATTAGCAGGTATCCAGGTAGGATATCACAGAGTTCCTCACCATAGTAGGAACTGTGGGATTTTTGCAGGTGTCCAGCGAATAGACGGTGTGTGGAACTACTGTATTGACCTTGGACTTCTCTAAGTGTCCGTGTACAATTAGTGGTTGCCCTAATGAGTGTATGGATGGAATTAGCAGGGGTTCAGATGGAAGGACATGTATCCTGACCACAGCTGCCACCATGTGTTTCTTCAGCTGGTAGTCAAGAGATGATGGGGTCTCTAACTACGACATTGGCCTTAAAACCTTAGGATTCAGGTAGAGTTCATGGTTCCTCTAACAATACTAGTCACCATGGGGTTTTTTGAGGTCCATGTAGATGATGTATCCCTAACCACTATTGCTGCCATATGGTTTTGCAGGCTCCCGTCAAGAGATAATGGTGAAACTCATATTGGTCGTTTTTGTAGGAATTTCATGGAATCCATGTAAGTGATATGTGGACCTTAAATATAATACAGACCGTCTGATCTTCAAAAATCTAGGTAAGTGATAATGATGTCCTCAACATCTGTTGGTATCACGTGTTTTGCAGGTATTCAGGTAAGAAAATGATACTGGGTCTGCCAATAAGTATTGGTAGCCATGACATCTAGCTTAACCACTTTTCTCGTTTAGCGATAATGTGTGTGTAACCTTAGGAGTGAATGAGGGCTTTTCAGGTATCTAGGCAAGTGATCATAACTTTCTTCACCACCCTAATGACCATGAGATATTTATAGGTGCCCAGACAATAGATGACAGTGCCTGTAACAATGTGTTGACCTTCAGGTTCTGCCAATATGCAGGTAGCATTAATGGGTTTGTAAAGATGGAAGTGACACAAGTTAATCTGCAGATGTTCTGCTAGAAAAATTTGCATTCTTAAACACATCTGTAACAATGTGCTTTTTCAGGTTTCAGTCTAATGGTCAAGGTAACCCTAACAATGGGGATTAACATGGAGCTTTGTTGGTATCCAGGCAAATGATGATGTGGGACTTAACACACAATAGACCTTCTGACCTTCAGAAATTTACATAAGTGATGTTACCTCTATTTAACATTTGTGTTACCATGTTTTTTGGGTTTTTTTTGCAGATATTCAGGTAAGAAGTGATAGTATTCCCATAATTCCTGTTTAAGAATGTGCCGTTACTGCTTACTAGTTCAGAGAGAATGTTTTGAAACCTGGTTAAGACTGAGGAATTTGTAAGTTTCCAAGTAAATTTTCGTAGTGTTTCTCATCTCAGTATTGATGATGGTATTTTTACAGGTACTCAAATCAAGAGATTGTGACATGTCCATGGTTTTGACCTTGATATTTTCTAAGGATCAGGGTAAAGTTGATGGTTCTCCTAATGCTAGTAGTTCTCATGAGCTGTTGCATGGTTTAGGTAGAAAAAGATGTATCTCTAACCATGGCTGCCTTCATGGGTTTTTTAGGTTCTACTCAGTGGATGATGGTGAAACTAGCAATGATAGTGAAAGTGGACTTAGCTAGAAGACAGGAAAGAGATGGTGTGAGCCTTTACACATTAGACAGCTTCAGATTTCAGTTATCTTACAGGTAAGAGTTGATGGTGCCTATAATACTGTGGTTACAGGACTGTTGTTTTTTAAGCAGATATTCAGGTAATGCCTGTGCTAATGTAAAGGTGAGAAATGAGGGCATTTATACATTAGAGACCTGAGTTTCAGATATCTAGGAAATTGATGATGGTGATCATAACTGTCATAGTCACCTGGTTTGGTACAGGTTTGCAGGAAAGAGTAGGTATGAGATTGTTTATATTCTTGTTTAGTGATAATTTGTACTTAACCCTAGTAGCAAGTGAAAAATCTGCAGGTATCCAGGTAAGTTACCACATTGTCTATCACCACACTAGTGAACATGGGATTTTTACAGATACTTCTTCAAAAGAGAGAGGTGTCTTTATTAGAGAGGTGTCTCATACCTCTGGAGCTATCCAGGTATCGTTGATGAGTCACAAAAAGAAGTGATTGAGGGTATTTGCAGTTGTCCAGGTATTATAAGAGGTGTACTAAACACATTTTTCACAATATGCTTTTCAGGTTCCTTTCAAGAGATCATAGGGACCTTAACAATGGCCATTAATGATGGACATTGTGAGTATCTGGTAAGTGATGAGGTGTGCTTAATCCACAGCTAAAAACATTTGACCTTCATATAAGAAGGTAATTGATGACTGTGCCCCTAACAGTTGTTACCATGTTTGCTTGCTTATTTGTTTTGAAGATACTGAGGTAAGAAACCATAGTCCTTACCAGTGTTAGGAACCCCATGAGTTCTTAGCTTTACATATTTTAGAAAATTTCTCTTTAACCCTGTGGGTGTTGAGTCATTGCCATATCCAGATAATTTTCATGATGTTCCTCACCACAGTATGGGATTTTTGCAGATATCCAGTCAAGAAACAATGGTTTTGTCTGGCAACATTGTTGACCTTGAGTACTGCAAATGTCCAGATAGAGTGTATATGTCCCATAATGATGGAAGTCACAAAAGTGATTTGCAGGCATCATGGTTAAAAAAAAAAAGTGTGTTTTAACACATATTTCAAAATATGTTTTTCAAATTCCCGTTAAAAGATTGTGATGAACCTAACGATGGTTACTAACATGGTAATTATTGATGTGGGTCTTTCACACTGCAGAATGTAATCTTCACATGTCTAGGTCAGTGATGATGGTGTCCCTAGCACTCGTATTAGCATATTTTTATTTTCGGCTATTAGGCAAGGTCTTTAATAGTATAGAGCTAAGAATTAATATGACTTTTATATAGTAGAGACTTTTCTATTTTCAGATACCTAGGTAATTAATGATGGTGTTGAGAACTCTGATACTAATCTTGTTTTTTGGCTGGTTTGCGTAGAATAAATTAATTTTGTGTAACAGCACAAATAAGCATGAGATTTTATTGTATTCTTATTTAGAGGTAATATGTATTTAATAATCATGGTGATAGATGGACATGTAGGTAACCAGCTAATTTATCATACTGTTTACCGCATAATGACCATGGGATTTCTGCAGGTATCCATTTAAGAGAGGAAAGCATCTCTTCCTAGATACTGACATTGGAGTTCTGGAAGTGTTCAGGCAATGTTGATGGGTCCCAAAATGACAGAAATGGTGAAGGAAATGTGCAGCTGAGCAGGTATGATCAGATATATATTAAATATACCATGTTTCATAATATGCTTTTCAGGATTCTATCAAGAGATTATGGTGAGCATAACAATCGTAGTTGATGTGGGACATTGCTGGAATATAGGTAACTGATGTGGTAAGCTTATACCACAGCAAAACTACTTGATTTTCCTCTATCTAGGTAAGTAGTAAATGATGTCCCAAATACTCATTACTGTGTTTGTTTCTTTTTTCTTTATGTATTCAGTGGTGAAAGAGTACTTACTAGTAATAGAAACCATGAGTTATTTCTTTTCCCATTTTTTTCTGGAGGCGGGATGGAATCTCACCCTGTCACCCAGGCTGGAGTGCAGTGGCACAATCTCGTCTCACTGCAGCCTCCGCCTCTCGGGTTCAAACGATTCTCCTGCCTTAGCCTCCTGAATAGCCGGGATTACAGGTGCCAGTTAGCACGCCCAGCTAATTTTTGTATTTTTAGTAGAGATGGCATTTTACCGTGTTGGCCAGGCTGGTCACGAACTCCTGACCTCGTGATCCACCCGCCTCAGCCTCCCAAAGTGCTGGGATTATAAAGGTGAGCCACCGCGCCCAGCCCTTTTTACATTTTAGGGAAAGTTTGTTTAACTTTGTGAATATTGAGGGATTTTCACGTCCAGTAATTATCATTGTGTTTCCGACTGCACTCATAATAATGCGATCTTTGCAGGTATTTAGCCAAGAAATTATGGTCTCATCTGACATGGTGTTTGCCTTGGTGTACTACAAATATTCAAGTAGAGTTGATATGTCCAGTAATACTGGAAGTAACTAAAGTTATTTGGCAGCAGCATCATAGAAAAAGAATGTGTCCCTTAACATGTATTCTCTAACGTGTTTTTCAGGTTCCTGTCAAGAGCATGTGGTTAACATGGGACTTTGCTGGTATCCAGGTAAGTGATGATGTGGGCCATGGTATTGATGCATGGCCTCTACTTATTGCTGTCCATTTTCTGTTATTTGAAAGTATTCAGGTATGAAATTATAATCTCCTTACTATTTCTATTAATCATGTTGAGTTTGTTTTATATATTAATGTAAACTTACATTTAGCCTAGTGAGCGTTGGATCTGCAGATATCCAAGTAATTCTTATGATATCCTGCTTCTCCGATGTAACCACAGGGCTTCTGGAAGTGTGCAGTCAACAGAAAGTGTTTTCCCTAACAGTAGTGCAGACCATAGAATACTACAGGTAATCAGGTAGAGTTGATGGGTCCTGCAGTGGAGGAAGCCACCAA